GGACATGTTGACATCAACCAAAACATGCTTTCCTCTGGATTTTCGCAAAAACCAGAAAGTATTCAAATTTGCTTGTTGTGAAATTATTGTTTTATAATTGTTTCAAACCCTGATAGTCTCAGAAAGTGTAATCCTTAGAATTAGATTAAATCATGAATCTATTTTTTAATATATACATTAAATCGATGGAATTCAAAAAATGGAAATAGTTCTTTATAGATTGTTATTATTATTATTAATGTTTAGGCCGAGAAACATTTTCTTTGTTATCCACAGAGTTTGTAGTAATGTCCTCTTCAGAAGCTTCTTGTTTATTTTCTTCCCTAATCCCAATTTGTCCCTCCTGTCCTTTTTCTTACCTTTTAATCAGTAAATGTTTAAGCCTCTCTCCTCTCACGTATCTCTCGAGTTAGATTCAAAATTGTATCAAAGTGGTCTTTTCTCCCTTATCCAGACCAACGCGACTGCTTTCACGGACGTAAGCTCGTGGACTCGGGCCCGAACTCAGTCATCGTCGCCTACTCGCAGAGACGCCCCGGGTAAGTAAACCCCTTTTTTTGTCCGACCACTCGTTACTTTTTTATTTTAGTTCATTGTGAATTGCTTTCTTTCGAATATTTTATTTTATTAACTATTATTTGCGCAAAAAGTGAGTCCGCACAACAATTATTTTTTATTACAAAGTTCATCCAGTCTTGCTTTCAATTTTAATTTATTATAATAATAATAGCATATATCTCAATTTATTGTGATTTCTTCATAAGGTCTGTTGATCTGTGTTCTTTGTCGTATCCGATCGACCTGGTTCACTTTTCTTCGCTGTTTTGGCATGTCATAACACCATCTTCAAAGATGGATATTCATGTGTTTACATGGTAATGCCTACTTGGGTCTTTCGCAGATTAGATCTTGTATGTGTCGTTTGTTCCGGGTCGTTATTGTAATCATCTGTTCTTTTTTTAAATGTTTTTTTGTCTTTTTAATAAGATAGATGTGGTTCGTTAGTTGCCCATTTGTGCCTTCATATGTTAATTGTCATATTTTTTCGTCTTTTTTTATTTTATTATTATTTTTATTTTAAATTATTATTATTTTTATTTATCTGTATAGTTGTGTTGCTTGATTTGATTGTCCATCATTGTAATTAATGATTTGTTATTTTCCTGCCTGATGTCTGTCTTGCATTAGAATACATAAGTTGCTTTAAAACAGTTCACTATATTTTATAAATGGGTTCGAATCCCGCTCGTGACCCTTACTTTTTCATTTCAACCAAGATCTTACATAAAAAGAATAATTAATTGAAAGAAGTAATTTGGTCAATTATACCACTAAAAGTAATGGATTGAATATTTTATAATTATACGTAGCTTGGCCATTTCCAATCACTTCGGTCAGCCCATTGACATGTCGGTCAGTCGGGTTCGATTTTTCGGCTCACCAGCGGTGTATTTGCGTAATTATATATCTTAAGTGCAAAGGTTTTGTGTAGAAATTATATTTATCAGTAAATTTGTGAAAGTGTGATAAGCAAACTTTACATAAAATATCGCCGACTTTATTTCTTTACGAAACCAATGCCGGTTGGGATAAAAGCCAGTTGAAGAGGGGCCTAATCTCATTAAACGGCTCCGCAGATCCACTTGACGCCACTTGGTAAACAAAGTGCGAGTCCTCTATAATCTACAGGTATTACATTTGAAGGCCTCTATCTCCCGACAACCACCGCCCTCCGTCCTAATCCACGTAATGAGCGCCGCCCCCGGCCCCCGTTTTCCGACTTAGTGGGAAAGTTTTAATGGGCGCCTTCCTCCTACACCAACTTCACCAACAAAGGGGGAGTTACTTTAATTTTCAAACGTGGATAAATAGAAGGCCCCGCGGGGAACGTGAGATAGGAGGGTTTCCTTCGGCCAACTTCCCGAGGCGAAGGAACGTTTAATACGAAAATTAAATTCTGGCTGAGTCACGACCCTCATCTTTTTTAATCTAAAAAGAAAAATCAAGTAAAAGGAAAATACATCTTGGCCTCATTTTTTCCTTTCCCCCAGCAAACTCATACTCATACCGCAAACTCACTTAAACCTTCCTTTACAAACTAACGATAATAAAAATTCAACAGGCTAAGTCATTACCATAACTCTTGTTAATAGCCTTTTGTATATAAAGCAACACATATTTTGGTGTACTTTTTTAAAAACTACTGATCATTTTTTGCCAAAATAAATCTATTCTACGGTAGTGATCTCCATGAGTATTATTTGTAATAATTTTTCAATAAGAACCATATTGATTGAAAATTCGAAAAGATGTTAGATACTGCCAGAAGATTGCAAAGTTCGAGGGAAAGAATTACGAAAAAATATTACCAAGTCAATTTTCAATATTGGCTAAAAATTAGAAATAAATGATCTCAAGTTTCTCTAAATTAGAAATGTATTTGAAGTAAAAAAAATCATTAAAATGAAAATTTTACTGAATTACATTAAAATTAAATTAAAATATTCAAAAAATATAAAAGATAAATTAAAATTGAAAAAAAAAATGAAAAATTGGGTCCAAATCAACCGTTCGGCCAAGTCAGAGGATAATGGTTTTGCTACTAACCTGATCACAGTTTCACTGAACACGCCGACATCGTAGTTCAATTTTTTTTTCTTTTTCAACGAGGGCTCGCAACAAGACAACAAGACAACAAGACAAGAGGATCTATAGCGTCCGCACCTGGCCTTTTCAGCCTTATCGGACGTTCTGGTTCTCAAGATGAGAGCTGTCGCACCTCCGCATACGACGGAATAGTGTTACCGTCGCAGCATTGGTGGAGAGGCGCCCCAGCCGCTAAGGGCCGAGACAACCTCGCTCTCCGCTTGTCCACTCCGAATGGTCGGGTCCGCATTGTGCATCGGGTCGTATGCCGCACGCAAAGGGCTAAAAGGCCAAAATACTGTTCTCCCGCGTACTCCCTAGATAGAGAAGGCCACTCTATCTCCCTGAGTATAGAGGCTCCCCTAGCGTAGAAACTTCCGGGAACGGCAGCGGTTTAGTTTAAAGTGGAATTGCTAACGACACCCTCGATGAGCACCGCCTACGATAAAGTCTCTTATCGAGCTCAGCCTACACCTGCCATGCGCATTCGAGGGACCATAGGCTCAGCCTAGGTGGTCCGATCCTTCGCTTCCCCAAGGGTACCACGCCGGTCCTCGGCACAACAATGCAAAGCATACTCGAGTCCGAGACACCGATTCACTACCCGTTTCCGTTCGCTTACTCACGCATTCGAGGGTCTATTCAGCATGATCATCGCGTCCTCAACGCTTACACGCTGCCGTCCCGTCGCAACGTCTCCCGTGAGGCCGGGGGTAATTACGCTGGCCATACGCAAGCTTCACGAAGGTCACAGATAGAAGACAGCCTCTGTCTAAGTTCCCGCCAGGGGTGTCAACACCCGCCACCACGAATCCATTCCCATTGTAACTCTGAGCTGAATTTGAAACATTTAAGTTACCCCGTGGTACAGACGGCCATACACCCTCCCCCTTCAATGCAGACAGGATCTAGTGCACTGGCCCTCGTGTGACACTGCTAAGGCACCCGCCGCCCATGCCAACCCTAGGCCGACACGAGTACAGCTTTTGCTTTCGAGAGGTTGCCACGCTCTCTGGGCTGCACCTTTATTTAGTGCCCGGAACTTGGGTTCATGCTTAAGGGCATACTTCCCTCCACCTACTGCTTCATACTTCACAGCTACCTCACTGTCTAGTTTTTCTAAGTCATTGAAAGCACATTCTCGATTCGCCTATTGTCTATGCCGGTGCCCCTAGGGTGGCGTTTTGGCTCCTTCACTTCATCTGGTGTACTCATCTCATTCCATCCTCAAACCACACCCTAGCAGTTACTCTGTGCTAAAAGATCCCTCTTTCAATTTTATTCAATAATATCCCTCTCCCAAATGCGGAGAAGGTGCGGTACCTAGGACTGTACTACGATAAAGGTTTGGCGTGGAATCCTTTCACACGACTGAAACGTCAAACATTTACACGATAAAGGGCTCTTTCACAAATTCTTTATTTAAAATGGTGTTTTATAACATTATAGCAAAGCTGATATGGACATACAGACTAGAAGTGTAGGGTACAGCTGTACATTCCAATATCCTATTGTTTGAGGGTGTTGACTTATCATCCTGGTCTGCCTATCATCGCTGATTTTTGTTAGTCCTAATAATGGACTAACAAAACTCCTCATACCCACAAAATCTCATTTCGACGAATTCCATCAAACCCTCCAAGCCGAAAATAAACACCTGAGGAGAAGCTTTTGTTTTAATTGAACATTATTAAAACTTATGTTTGTAATACAAAAAAAAGTACAAATTCAGCATCTAACAGAAATGAACGATCTATAGTCAATAAATTGACCATTGAAGCGTCAACAATCTTAATTTAAACAAGCGTTCGATATCGTCTGTACCACTCTTTATCCCTGTATCAATTTAAACGTTGAAATAAACTAAAAACGGAGGTAGCTTGGAATGGAAGGGTCGGCAAATCCCACTGATTACGATGTTAATTAGCTAATTGAAAATTTACATTAAAATGGTAGGTACTTTACCTTTTTAAACACTGCACGTTGCACACACACTTTACACTAAGCACTCCGCGAAAACTGAAACAGACAAAATAATCATTAAAATATTTTTTTTTAAATTCCCTTTATAGTGCTAAGGTGAGAGAACAGTACTATTATAACTACAATTAATACTGCTCAAACGATTTAAGGTATTAAGTAAAATTTGTTTGCTACTTAAGATTGTGAAAATCATTGAAAAATTCTTCTTCTTTTTTCCGTCTTTTTGAGTAATTATTACAAACTTATGGATTAGAATACAATCAACCAAACTCAATAATGATATTATAATAAAAAAATAATTTGTTATTCCTTTGTTTTTAACCAGGATTAATAAAAATTGTACAATTTTATGATACAAATAATTGTTTAAGGGACCCGACTAAAGGACTTCAGAAATGCCAAAACCAGCCGACGGACCAGAAAAGCGGAAATATATGGACCAATACATCTTAAATAAAAAAGGTTTAATCCCCAGCTTGAAGAAGAAATCAATAAAAACAATTCCTTGTTAGAAGTAGGTACTGTTTATTGCTTAAATTAAACCAAAATGGAAATTACCAGTTCAAAATGGTAAGCATAAAACTCTGTCTTAGATTACTTTTCTTATAGTCTAATAATAATTTGTAATTCCTTTTGTAATTATTTATGTACTTTATAACTGCAATTTTTAGTCGCAACAAGTATATAACTGACACAACGAAAATGTAGGTGTTGCACATGATAAGATTAGCCACTCAGCAGTGGCACTCTCACATTAGTCGAAGCAATCTTCCTTGAGATCTCTGGACCATAACCACTTCAACCGACGTGCGGAATTCTAAGAATGGTAGGGCGGAAAGCTGTTTGACAAGTGGATCCGGATGAAGTACATATCGGCCGCAGGGAGGTCTTATAGATAGTGAGTTAGTAAGAGAGGTGTATGTTTTCCTTTCACGTGCAGTCTATCATGTAGTCTTATGTCAATGTATAGTCTAGGTAGCCGTGAAAAGGGTGTACCATTGAAATAAACTGTAGGACAAGTGGTTTTTCGGTGGGTTTAGGTGATATGGATTGCTCTGCAGACAGCTAAAGGTATAATTGTTAAAGTGAACTGGAATGTAAACATACTTTAATGAAAATTAAAAACATTAAAACAAGACAGTTCCATAAGAAATGAGTCAGTACACATCAGACAGACAAGATTTGTGTATTAAAAAGTATGTAAAAGGGAAGACATTTGAGCCATCCTTAAAAGCAGCATAACCAGGTTGCTAAACCCGATCGAGCACTTGAGCTACATCAATAAAGACATCCGAGCAGTTCTCTTTCTTTCTAGGAGGATACTATTTTGGGTACGAATGAATTTGACAGGATGGAAGGAATTTGGATATTGGTAGGTTTGTTGGGTTTTGGGATCATTTTAATTACAGGTATTTCCATGGCATTGGGAAGTATTTTGTCGTTAGTAAAGCGTTGCAGACGTATTTTAGAAAAAGATGGCTCTTCCTCTGCACATTATGAATAGGAAGAGTCCTTGGATGCTCCCCTGGTGTACACCCGCTTTATTCGCTTTAAAGAGAATATAGGAACAAAATGTAGTACATAAGATTTCACCATAAGAAGTATGTATAAAGAAGGAAATTGAGAAATTAAATACATTAGAAATGAAAGGAGACTGACAGAAAATTAATTAAAACACAAAATTAATTAAAACAGAAAACTGATGTTGTTACTACGTAGGTCGATCAACGTCAACTAGTAAAACAGAAAATTAAAATACCGGTATGATTCATGTACTGTACAATGTACGGTACGGACTTTGGAAGTTTTGGAGGTTTGTTGGATTTTGTGATAATTTTTATTAAGGAATATTTCCATGGTATTGGAAATATGCATTTCATAGTATAACGCTGTAGATGTCAGAAAAAATACCTTTCTTGTCAATTTCTGCACTTTATTAATCGTAATTAGGTGATAGCAATGAAAAAACAATTTGCCATATAAGCCATGGTACCAAAGATTGTGAAAATCATTGAAAACTCTATATTTTTCCGTCTTTTTGTGTCATTATTAGAAACTTATTGCTAGGGCAAATTTAATTGCAGTTCATTAATTTTGCGAAATTTAAATAAAACATGAAGGTACACTAGTATTTGAACTGAAGATTGATTAGATAGAGGTAGATACCAAAGTGAGGTTACTTCAGTTGAACGTGGTGAAATGACCATTTAATCTAAATTAATGTAAAATGGACAGATCAGGATAATAAAAACCCATGGGAATATTTTCCACTTCTGAAATTTAAAGATTACTTTTAGGGTGACGAATATTCCCATGCTAAACGATGTTTATAGAATCACAAAGAGCAATTGTAGAACCTGTTGTATTATGATCTGCGCTTAAAATCAGTATATAACCGCGTACTAAATTTTCTCCTAATGTGGATGAAATGCTTTAATTTTTTTCTTTATTTTTAAAAAATTAAGTTTATACATTAGCGAAAGTAGGCTGTATTGATGGGTGATGATTTTTCAATTATCAATGTACTCATTTTCATCGACCGAGGCGGTTTTCCTTGAAGGACATTTTCTTTCCCGGTTTGGGAAAGCCGGTTTAAAGGTACGGTGAGAAATTGAGAGGGAGAGGAAAACGAGCAGGCGCACTCCACTAAACCACTTTTATTGATTGTTCAACGAGAGCTATAGAAAGGAAGAACGGCCAAGACTTGCCGACGAGCTTAAGAGAAGAAAAACTGCACTGGGGGCTTAGGGATCGTGTAATGGAACTAGATAGTTCCGTATGAAATCAACTGCCATAGAGAATATTAAGTTTTTCTTATCGATAATACAACATTTATATAATATAAAAATTCTTGCAACTTGAAATTTAATTAATATTGATATTAATATTTTTCATCTCAGTGAAAAAGAACATAATTATTAAGATCCTGGTCAATTACGAGATAAAAACGGTGTGCTCGATAAACAATTCAAATGAAACAGGTTTTGAAGAAATATAGATAGACATAGATGCACTTGACCGAACACTGAATTTGGCGAGAAGTCTAATCGCCCTTACAGACCAAATAGTCCGACCAAAATGGTAGGTTACGATCAAAGTAAAGATTCAATTTTTAATTATTGAATATTTCGTTAAACCATTAATCATAATCATCAAATAAATCTGTTATTAATGCTTATTACATTATTATTTTACCCAGGGAGAATATCGATAGTTATCTGCTCCAGGCAAAGAAAGAAGAGCAATTTTCTGACGGACTTTCGTATGTATTGTCGTCGTCGTCGTCGTCGTCGTCGTGTGTGTGTGTGTGTGTGTGTGTGTGTGTGTGTATCAGTGCTCAGCCTGATATAGAAATGTTCTTGATATAAGTAAGAAAAATAGAAGACAAAGTAAATAGAGAAATAAAGTTCAAAGATATATATAATGTATTCAGGGGAACTTTTCCTCTTTACTCTCGACCCCTTGGGAAACTTTATACGTTCCTATTGTCGTGTGCACAATTCAATGCCAGTAGCGGCCCCCCAGAGGAATCACTCTTCTGAATTTCAAATCTCTATCCCTCTCCCTCCCGGCTCCCCTAAGGCTACCTATCCTTCTTATATACGTCTAAAACGGGGGTGGAGTAGTAACATTATTTTTATTCCGGGCCGATGAACGCGGCCGGAAAGGGTGTGGGGTGGCTATCCGGCGGAATCGGCCCGTTTCTATTTTTCCATCTGCGGAGAAACGAGGAAGGGAAAAAAATTGGGGGAAAACTAGTGAATTTGTTTACTTTGCTTGTCACTGGGTTTAGTACTTCTTTTCTTTTTTTGGCTCAGCTACTTTCCTAAAATTTCTTTCTTCTCTCTCAGTCCATTTCTAACGGATATTGTTTTTCTTGTACTTTCTTTGGATATCTCACTCCATCTCAATCTTTTAGACCCAAGTTCTTTTAGTACTAAGCATATAAATTGCAACATCTCTATAGTTTTTTTTTTTTTTGTGCAAGTAAAATATAAGTAAAGTTTGTACACAATTCCTTTAGTTGTTATGTCCGATCGATATTTACTTTTTGCCTGAATAAGCAGGAAATGAAGATTGCAACTTGCATTCCAATTTCCAATACTTTTAAATATTAGTCTTTTTTCGAGCATAAAGCATTATTTGGTTTTCATTTTTTACAATTATAAAGTTTCTATAGAAGTATTTACAAGGCTCCAGAATTGTAATGATGCTTCATCTTCTTGTAATTTAAATATGTTATGTACAGATTTGTGAAAAGGTTTTACATTTTACATTGTTAATATCATAGTGGCCACACAGAAGATGGCGAAATGCTGAAGCTCATCTGGCAGAATAAACTAGAAAGGAAGGTAGACCAGGATGATAAAAGTACAGAAAATCGCTCCGCAGACCACAGGTAGAAATCTTTTATTACCAATGTTAACTATTGGGTTGTCCGGAAAATAATGCAGGATTTTAAGTTTTCATTAAAAAAAATCTATATAAAATATTCTGTTTACGTTTACAGGATTACTCATTTGTATGAATGTCCACACTTATTAATCCTCTTCCAAATGATATTGTTTGTTTACCTCTGTAGCATTCCGCTACTTGGAAATAATTCAGTCATCCTTATAATGTCAAAGCGAGAATTTCGTACGATTTTCTTTTACGAGTTTAAACTCGGCCGAAGCGGAGCCCAAACGGCTAGAAACATTAACCAAGTCTGGGGCGAGGGTTGTGTTAATGAGTGCACTGTGCAAAGGTGGTTTAAAAAATTTGGGGAGGGAGATTTCAGCCTTGAAGATGAAGAAGGTCGTGGAAGGCCTTCCTCTCTTAATGATGATGTTCTGCGATCAGTGGTGGAAGAAAACCCCAAAACAACTGTTCGGGAACTTGCAGAGCAACTCAAAGTCAGTAAAACGACCGTCGCTGACCACCTCAAGGCGATTGGAAAAGTGAAAAAACTCGAAAATTGGGTTCCACACTCATTAAACGATCGCCAAAAAAATCAGCGCTTTGATGTTTGTGCATCACTTCTTTGTCGAAACAAAAATGACCCATTTCTGGCCAGAATTGTTACATGTGACGAAAAGTGGATTCTGGACAGTGGCTCGACAAAGGAGAAGCTCCAATACATTTTCCAAAGCCCCCAACTCATCAAAAAAAGGTAATGGTTACGGTATGGTGGGCTTCATTTGGTTTAATACACTACAGCTTCTTAAATCCTGGTGAAACCATCAATGCTGAATCATACTGTAACCAAATTAATACCATGCATCAGAAATTGGCAGTAATGAAGCCCTCTTTGGTCAATCGGAAAGGGCCCATTTTGTTGCATGACAACGCTCGACCACATGTGTCACGTGTAACGTCACAAAAATTATTGGAGCTTGGCTATGAAACTTTGCCTCACCCACCCTACTCTCCGGACCTCTCGCCTACTGACTACCATTTTTTTAGACACCTGGACCACTACTTACAACACATAATATTCAAAAATCAAACGGAACTGGAAAATGCATTTATTGACTTTATCAATTCTAAAAATTCTGAATTCTACTCAGACGGAATTAATAAGTTACCAACACGTTTTAAAGAACATTGCTTTAAAGTAACTAGTTTCTTTTTTTTTGTTTAATACCAAAATCCTGCATTATTTTCCGGACAACCCAATATTTTATAATATTAAATATTTAGCTCCCTACACTCTGCAATCCATCCATTTCATCGTGTTGTCATTTCATCCTCCCTTGAGCAGAAGCAGTGTTGTTGACGAGGTTTTACACTCGGGCCTGGAAGCAGAAGTGCGTCCTCCTACCCAGCATCTACTATCTTCTCCTAAAATCGTACCCGTCCGACCGTCCTTCATAGCGACAGGGCACAGCGACTCTGTCTAACCTACCCAAACTGGCGGACCACAAGTAAACAATCTTGAACTCTCCATTACTTGATATACTGCTGACATTCTTATCCATCCAGAAACTATTCTCTCCAATTTTGCTGACGATACAGCAATCCTTCCCCGCATAACGATTCAGTCACCGATTACAGAAACATTCATAACTATTTGCAGTGCTTGAAGTTTGGTTCAAAACGTAGAGATTTAAAATAAATGCCACGAAGAACCAATACGTTAACTTCATACTCAGACGTGTTTCATTACCCACTTGTTTACTTTAATGGGACTTCACTACACCCTGTCGAACACGCACGTTACTTCAGTCTTTACATGTACAAACGACTTACTTGGAATCCACACAGAAGACTAAAACGAACTAAACAGAAGTTACTACTCTTATCATCACCACTCGACAAACGATACAAACATCCACACAACTACATACGATTGATGTACACCACAGTTCTGAAACTGGAAGTATACGTGGACTTACACTATCGAACGGTGACCAATAAACCTCCCAACCCAACATTCCAATCAAATTAATTATAATAAAAATAATAATTAAATCCTAAGAAAAATGGTTAACCTTCCTTTTTATGTATCAAACTTTACCGTTAACCGAGACATTAATATCCCTTTTGCTCCGTAAGTAGCGAAACCCAATTTCAAAAATTCCATCAATTCCTCTCCACCCCCTTCAAAAAATTACAGTAGTTTCGCCTAATTTATATTTTTGTGTGTTTCTCATAGCGAAATGTACCATTTTACATATACTTTGATAAACTATTGTTTTTATAAGCGAATGATAAAATGTTAAGATTTCATTGTTTGATTACGTTTCGAAAAACATAAAAAATTTTGTTTGCAATTTGTACGAAGAAATTTAAAAAGAATTGAATCTTAATGCGCAAGAAAAAAATACATTTATTTATAGAGAGAAAATGCTCAATAAATTCTGTTGTTAAGCATGTTTTGAATGTTTAACAAAAGTATTTTACTATTTACACTTATAACGAGTTCGTTAATCCTCCTCCACATAACTTGAACATAAGTGCATTTTTTTAAACATTATTAAAAAACTCGTGTTTTTATTCTTAGAGATAATTAAAGTAGCAGTTAGATGTAGGGAAGTGTCACTAGTTTTCTAATTAAGGCGAGTTATGAGGCCCTGAAACCAGGTTTACTCGCCATAAGTTCCCCGGGCTTTAATTAAAAAGGAGACACTTCCTCGGTGGCGTTTATTTTGAATACTTTTCATGCCTTTTCAGATTTAAATCTTCCCCTCTTTCCACGAGTAATTTAAATGAAATCGCACCCCACGACCATTTTCATTGTTTAGTGTACGGCCCGTGGAAAACGTCTGTCGCAATGGACAAAAAGGATGTAAACTTGAATTGTCTGTCAGATCTTCATGTTCAACCAACGATCTTTCATTTCTTTAAATTATTGATAAATGAATTTATAACTAAACAGTGAAAACTTATTGGTTTATGTTTTGTGGAAGGAAAAATGTAAAAATTGCACGTAAAAAATAACGTAATTACACATTTTGATTATTGTTAAAATTAAGTGCTAATTTTTTCTTTATTATTGTATTACTTCTTTATTGTTATAAACGTAATGAAAAGAATGTAATAAATATTATTTACACATTATCAGTCAAACAGCCAAAAGTAATTTCAAACAAAATGCGTACAAAATTGTACGAAAGGGGAAAAAAAACAAGGATAGTACATTTTTGTCGATTTGGACATTACTTAGTGCTTTGGGTTTGTCTTGGCAAGTACTATTGGATTGTAACAATAATTTGGGAAAGACTATTACAACCCATTAGAAATAAAGATTTGAAATGTCGTGTACAAGGATGGAACTATAATATTCCTTCCGTCATTGGGAAAAAACAAGTACATATAAAAATCACCTTGCTCTCTTTAAACCTTGGCTGTTATAAGCACGGACTATATTGAGAGACCACTCGTATTTAGAGTTCACGAAAATATGGGTAAATAAAACTGAAAACTGAAATCGAAGTACCCAAGGAATGGCACCTTAACGAGTTCAATAGAAAATTATGATTCAATGCATGCTCTATATAGAAGGCAAAATTGCCCCCTAGCGTTCATTTCCCGTGCAAAAATAGAGTAAACTGCAAGTGATTCGAGAAGTTGGTATGGTTTCCATCGTTGTCCAATTGTTTGATATGCATACTTATTTTGCAACGCAAAAATTATAATCTTTCATTTTATTGAATTTTTTGAAATTATTACTGTGAACTGGGGTTTGGTTTTAAAAAAAATATTTAAAATAAAATGTAGAAAAGTCAACAATTTGTGGACATGTTGGTAGGTTGTTTTCAAAATATCAGCCAGTACATTTTTCGTTTAAATCTATGAAAATTGATTTTCTGGAATATGAAATTTTCTAACTATTTTTATTTTCCCCCTCAATATACTTTTCATTTTAAATCCTAATCTTTTATAGTAAAGCAAAAAAGACGTTACTATCGATTAAATTGCTCAATAAATGGAATTTAATCCTTCAGGTTTGCAAAAAGAATCCTCAACAACGTACAATCTACACCATCCACCTATTTTCAGATTTTGCCGTTCAAAAAATTCGTTAAATGTCAATTAGCAGATCTACCTTTTGTGTTGGTTGTGTCTTGGTTTGAAATATATCTGATATCTAATTCGCTTTGATGAAGCAAAGTCTTAATTCAGCATAAAGCTCCCTGTGAGTGTGTTCCTACTGTGAGTAGGAACTATCTTTTTTAAATAAGGTTAAAGCTCCCTGCTATCTACTATACTTTTAGAATTCACAAACTTTAAACCCCAACTTATAAACTACTTCACCCCATTCTTAAGCAACTTTAACTTTAGTTTCAGTAAGTTTTCCTACGGCGACGCCAGACGTGCACTTCGGCTAAATTCAGAAGCTGTTATAAAGTTAAAAAGAAAATTGTATAATTATTTAAAATAATTAAATAGGTCAATTATTACCTCTATACCTATATGGGTTTAAAAGAAACTTGAATTCAAAAATCGCAAAATACAAGACATATACATAATTTCGTTTAGGACAATGACAAAAACCAAACTACGCGACCTCAATCATAAAAAAATATAACGGACCCGGAAAATCCAAAAAGCATGAAACTACCATGTGACGTATCAAAAAGTTGCAAAATGAACAGCCTTGAACACTTGAAAATAATCAAACCTTACACATTTAATATTAAAAACTTCATAAATACACCAATTAACAACAATCTACATACACCCAACCCTCAATTTACGCGGCAATTTTATTACACGAGTATTTGTTTTACTTATTACGCGAAACTTTTTATGCATTGAATTGGTTATCTTATTTTATGCGATCATATATTTACATACATAGTTTCCTGCAAGTTTTAAAGTTAACAGTTTTATACAGTCAGTATGGGTGGTGGAACGCATGACGGAGAAAGAAAATTTTGTTGCATTAAGTCCGCACAAGGCGTTGTCTTTGGC